TGTAATTAAATGATATTGATAAAGTCATATACATGCATAGATTGAGTAGCCACGAGAAGAACCACCTGACACAAATGCAGACATATCCATCCTTTTGGGTCACTTCAGATATGGATCATAGTTTGAGTTTATTTTTAAATAAACAAATAAAATTTATTTATGGTTACCTAAAAAATAAAAATATGTCATATCTTTTGACTATAAAATTCAACTTATTAAAATATAAATTAACTCAAAGGGTAATAGTCTCAGGCTCTCAGTATATATATGTATACAAACTAGTGCTCGTTAATTTTTACTCATTTAGGTAATATAATTTAATTTTTATATATAAATTTTTACTAATTTTTTGTATAAATTATAATATTATGATCAATTTATATTATTAAAAATTTAAAAGAATTTACAAAAATAATATTTTATGAAATAATAAAATAAAAAATAAAAAATTTTCTCATAGTGATGATTAGTTTAATTTAACTTATTACTATTTGGATTTATATTATAGATAAATAATTATTAATAATTAATATATTAATCATTATTTTATAGCATTGTTTATAATTTTAGTATTTTTTTTTTCTTTTTTACCTTTTACTAAAGTTTATTAATAATTAATTTTATGGTTGCTGGTTTTGAAAAAAAAAAAATTTGCTTTCAATACGTTGTATTTGCTAATATAACGTGTTATATTATATGTTTAATATTTCTTATATAGTATATTATAACCAATCAAAATTAAATTATCTTTATTTTTTCAATCAATAAAATTAAAATTATAAAAAAATATTATATACTTACCATATTTAATATATATCTTATTTTGTATATAACATAATTTTTTAGTTTATTTAATAGAAATTTAGATTTAAATAGAAAATCAATATAACGAATCAAAATTAAATTATCTTTATTTTTTCGACCAATAAAATTAAAATTTTGAAAATTATTATATCCTTACTATATTTACTAGCTATGAACTTAGCCAGTGATCCAAACAAAAACACCAACAAGAGAAAAAGCTAAAGCAATCAAAGCAAACGGGTAGTCCTAGCAAAAAAACCAGATGGCCTGCAATTCCATTTCTTGATCTGCTATATCTCCTTTGTAAATATTGATGTGTGGAAGAAGAAAAAGAAAGTTTATGTTGTAGACCGCTGAATCAAGGGCTGACACTTTTTACATTTTGTAGCAAATCTGGTTCATCCCATGTTATCTGCAATGAAGATTTGCTGGTATATGTAAGCCAAAAACAAAAAAGAGATGGCAAAAATGCAGACGAACGGTTGAATCAATATTAAAATCTATGAACTCCCATGCGTTGATGTTTTTTTAGTTTTTGTGATCTATGAATCATTTAAGAAAAATAAAATTACTGGCGTTCAAAGAGCTTGAAGTTAATCTGGGCTTTTCTTTTTGATTCGAATCGAACCATAGTCTTGACCGGTCTGATTCCACGGTTTTTATTCGGTTTTGACCGGTTCTTATCCGGTTTTCTACCCATCTGTTTTAGGCATTCAACCAGATCGGACCATGGTCCGGTTCTCACTTAAACCAGTCGAACCAACTAGTCCAATCCCGTTTTCATAACCATCTATATTATAGATTATAGATGCACGTTTGACAAAAGCTATTTATACTCGTTAATTTTTATTGGTTGCAAGCAATTGTGATTTATTTTATATACAATTTTTTTAATTTTTTATAAATTATAATATTATGACCAATTTATAACTAAAAATTTAAAAATCTTTACAAAATAGAAACAATGACATTTTATGAAATAATAGAATAAAAAATTTAATAATTAGATAATTTGTAAAGAAAAAACATGTTTAATTATAATAATAAAATATTAAAAATCAAATTACTTATCAACCAATTTAAATTTTTTATAACAATTTAAATTTAATTAACTTAACTTTTTCGTATATAATATATTATGATAAACTGCTTTTTATATTACTAAAATATGAGAAAACAGTATTAATTATTATAATAATTAATATATTAATCATCATTTTAGAGAATCGTTTATAATTTGATATTTTTTTAAAGCCTATGAGTATATAATTAATTTTATAATTGCTTTTTTTTGAGAAAAAAATTTGTTTCGATGGTTTGCTAATAAAACTGATAATATATATATTTCTTGTGAATTTTTTTCTATTTTATATCAAACAATAAATAAGATAATATATTCCTTAATAAATAATAATAAACTACATTTATTCTTTGTAGAATAAATTACTTGTAGAAAATAATAATAATCAATCAAATTAAAGATTTATTAAAAATAATAATTAAACATATCATATTCTTACCATATTTAATATGTACCTTATATACTATAATGTAACCAATCAAAATTAAATTACCTTTATCTTTTCAACTAATAAAATTAAAATCCTTAAAGATATTATATTCCTACCATATTTGATAATATATCTTATTTAGTATATAATATAATTAATACTATAATGTAACCAATCAAAATTAAATTACCTTTATCTTTTCAACTAATAAAATTAAAATCCTTAAAGATATTAATAATTTCCTACCATAATTTGATAATATAATCTTATTTAGATATATAATATAATTTTATTTTATCCAATATAATTTAGATTTAAATTAGAAAATTAATATAACCACTAAAATTAAAATATATTTATTTTTCACCTAATAATAAATTAAAAATATACGTGCTCTTACCATATTTATATATCTCGTTAAGTATATAATATAATTTTTATTTTATTTAGTAGACTTTAAATTTTAAATAAAAAATAATATAAGTAATTTAAAATTAAATTATCTTTATTTAACTAACTAAATATTAAAATTCTTAATGATGGTTTTTGCCCATGCTAGACCAATATAATTTAGATTTAAATAGAAAATTAATATAACCAACTAAAATTAAATTATATTTATTTTTCACCTAATAATATTAAAATATACCGTGCTCTTACCATATTTATATATCTCGTATAGTATATAATATAATTTTTTATTTTATTTAGTAGACTTTAAATTTAAATAAAAAATTAATATAAGTAATTAAAATTAAATTATCTTTATTTTCAACTAATAAAATTAAAATTCTTAATGATGTTTTTGCCCATGCTAGACTTAAACAAAGCCAAGCTACTTAAGTTTGTGGTTCATGGCTTTTCAAAAATGAAAGGTGGGGGTTGATGGGTTAGGTAGCAAGAAAGGTGGGAGACTAGCTCGTCCTCAGGAACTTATATACGACAGATGTAGGGTATATGTCTAATTGTATGCAATGTGGCGGATTATTTTTGTAAGTATACAGCGTTTCTTCCGCAAATTTTTTAGTTGATTTAATAGCAATTAGCTGTTTTAACAGTATTTAACTGTTAACTGTTTAAATAGCCTTTCATAAAATACTAAAAATTAAATGTCACATGAGTTAACTTTTTATAAAATGCTACATTAATCTTTAAAAGTTAATTCAAACGCTATATTACCGAACACTATAAAAGTTAGCGTTTAGCGTTTTGACTAAGAACTATTTAAAAAACTGTTGTCGAAAACTGTCATTGGTGCCAAAGCTATAATTAGTTAAAGCCATTAGTATATGCTTGTGTGGTTCTAATTTCTGTTGCTTCTAAGTGCTCAGTTGTATACTAAAGCTATAACTAGTAAAAGCCATTTCCTTTGTACTACTGAAATCATAAACAAAAATCCAAATCTGCCTGTTTCAAGTTAGGAAGTTATATAGAACAGAAAAAGATTGCTTACAATGAGGATGGCGATGAGATATTGAGTCCATTTGTTATGGAAACTTGACTCCAACTAGTTTAAGACTTTAGGCGGTGGTGGTGTGAGATTTAGATGACAAAATCAATTTGAAATGTTAAATAACAATTTCAATGAATTTACTATTACCCAGAATACATAATTTAAATCTTTAACTGTGACAAAAACTCTAAACTTTAAAATCAATTTTATAGCATTCTACATTTCACTTTTTTATCCTATACCTCTTCCACTGAAAATAACAATTTTTAAGGTTTTTGGCTTTTATACATAAACTATTAATTTGGTATATGGTTAATACTACTAGAATAATGTTTTTTTATATTTTTCAACTATCCAATAAGTATTTAATCAATCTAATTTTATAATTTAAGGTGTTTAATAAATCAAATAAAATTTTTAACAGATTTAATTTATAAGTTGAAATGTTTAATAGGTCAAAATAAAAATAAGGGAGAATTTATGTGTGGAGCCGAACATATAACATCCATCTTAAGAATAAACTTTAACGTCTCAAATTAACATTAACATATTAATGATTTTTTTTCAACAACAGCTTAAACAACAATACAAAATAAAACCATATGTTTGCAAGCAATCATATATTTTAGTTATCTTAGTCATGTTAACACTTTCTATTTTACAATAATTAAGAAAAATTAATCATTTTAATTAAAAATATAAATTTATTTATATTTTTTCATTATACCCTTACTCTTAATATGAGATATACTTATTAATCTATTATTAACTTTTTCCATCAATCAAGATTAATTAATTATCCAAGGTCGATTATCGTGTATTGAAAATGGCTAAACTTAGTAAATCCTAACATTTTAATTTGCCAAGTGACTGTCAATAGATTATGACGTTGAAAAATACAGAGTAATTGATAAAAATAAAAAATTTATTTTAACAAGTAAGATTAAATATGAATATAATAAAGATTTAACATATTAACTAAAGAAATAAATTGTACATGGACTTTAATTTGAGACAAATGAAAAAAAAGCAAGGGTGCCTATCAATTGGGAGCGAAGGGAGTATGCCACTGGCATACCCCAAGCAAGTCAAGCTTAGAGGCTCAGCAATAACAGACATTTACAGGTAGAAGAACTGACGTCCAAAGTTAATACAACTCAAGGCAACAAAAACAAACATTTACAGGAACAGATTGCTAACAGAAAAATAAGACATTGTAGAAGAATACTGCAATTGCAAAAGAAGCTGATTAAGAATATGATTGAGAAAAAAAGATATACAAGATGAGGATGGATTCTCAGCACTCTCGAGCATAGAAACTCCCTCTGGACAATTTCAACGACTCAAAACTAGATACATTGTTCTTCATAATTTAAAATTACAACACAATTAGATCCCTACGGATCTTCAAATGTACACAAATAACTCATCTATATAAGACCTGTAGTCCCAAGAAGACTCAGCCGTGTGAGAAAAATCAGTTTGTTCACTGCTATTTACCATATGAGCTCAGGGGACTTACACCTAGAATCAAAAGGTAATGAGCACAATCTTCTGCCCTCAATAGGAGCTCCACGAGCAATGATGGCAAGCACACCAAGTATCTTCTTTGGTCTCTCATAACCCAACCCATTTCACCCATCTGAAAACTCGGCCGACTCTGAATGGTAACTCGTAGTCTTTGGTAACAGCAGGTTCCCTTGCTGCCTCCGGTTCTGACCATACATACACCCCACGCTCTTGCCTACTGCCAGGTACCGTGTTGTCCAGGATAACAGCAACTAGGAATGCAATTACCATGTGTAAGGATAGTAATGTGTTTAAAAAGTAGTTCAACTGCAAAGACAACATATTTTCCAGTTAAAAAGGGAAGAAAAATGTTGGGCGGAAACAATACAAAACACCTAGGTTTTCATGAGAATGCAAGTTAAAAGAAAGTGATTAGATAGATACTTAAGATAAACATCTAAATGAATTGTAAAAGCATCTATGAACAATTATAATTCCAGAAGCTCTCTGGCAATATGACAAAGCAAGATTCGACAAGGTAACAAATACAGCTGAGCCAGTCAACATGCATCTTTGGTTGACTAGTTATTTTTGGGTCTTTGCTACTCAAACCAATACAAATATTGAGATTGATAAAAATCTAAAACAACATTGTGAGGACAAGTGTACAAGAAGAGACATACCCCTCCATATTTACTGCGGATTGGTCCATGAGAGGCAACAATGTAAGGCTGAAAATAACTTGGAACAGACAAGTTGCTGTTTGGGGAGATGCCATACTGCTGAAAATATGCCGGCACAGAAAGTGAAAAAAATAAAGATAACCCTACTATGATGATATTCCGAGAGCTTCCTGCCTCACTATACCGTAGATTTGACAGTCCTAGTGCTGTAAGCATTGCCCACATGAAGCAAAGAAGAGCAGCAACCATTACTTCAGGAATTGAAGCAATAAACCCTCCAACTTTACCTGTGTATAATAGAAATATAAGAAGGCATAAATATGGAACGCGCAGTAACAAGATAATACATAAAGTCTCAACACCAAGTTGTCATGTCCTCTTTCTATTAACACAAATCCTTATATTTAAAACAAGATGTGGCATACCAAGTTGTAGAAACAGGAACTGATAAGAAAAACCAGGAACTACAAGAGGGAAAATAAACATGGAAAAAAAAAAAGCAGCATATATCAAAGGAGTAATCAATTTCAAATGCCAAGAAAGGAATTCAGTAGGATGTCTCTCATCAAAATGCAAATGCATCTGCATCACATCGCTTGTCTTATTTCAGATCACATATTTTGTAGAATTGTAAGTATGACACATGCATAAAAAACTATGCTTCAGCCTAAATCTACAATATTTGTTTCGTCATCCTAATTCCACAACTCTACACTACACTAAGCCATGTTAATTTATCCAAGTCCCAGGACATATCACCACTACTTGCTTGAAGCACAAATAATAGACCATGCAATTACATTAATATGCCAATGGAAACCCTCAAGGAGTCACAGAAGAAGCAAAGATCCTTTTCTCTTCTCTCTTCTTATATAATATGCCAACTGTATTAAGCAATGCCAGAGAGTATACAAAACATAGAGTACATGAAGTAGATTCAACTTACATACAATAGAAACTATAATAGTTTTGGACTTCAACCATTTTATCAGCTAAAATTATTATGACAAATTACATGTGCAAAGAGGAGGATTTCCTACGATCAATATTCATATTAATCAAAGTTTAATTTTAATCACTTTATCAAATAATAAGCTAAATTGCATGCGAAGAGAAACTTCCATCATAGCATTCAACTTTGCATGCAAAACTTAAAAATGGCTACATGATAAAGAACATACATGTGTGGTATGCCTCTGAACAATAATGGAAAAGATTTCAAGTTCTTATCCGCTGATCAGTGAACTTCATAATAATATGATTAGTGCTCACCTATAAGAGATAAAAGAATCAGAACACATGCACCTAATTCCACTGCTTTGCGGCTTCCCATTTTAGTCACAGCAATAGTATGCACATTCTCAGTCAGAGTTGTGGAGCCAGTTCCAGTACCCCAAAGACCAGCCAAGACACTAGAAAGTCCTTCAAGGCCAATCCCTCGACTAAGAACACCTGGAGTTGGAGGTCTAGATGCCACCAACAAAGATGATGCATGATATGAGCCAACCTAATCTCAAAAACAAAGAAAAATCAGGAAGTGTCATCTAACTTTACCCAGGACATCATATTAACAGGTTAAAACAAAGGAATAATCATTTCTTCTTATACTCTTTTTTATTTGATACGTCACAAATGCAATAGTACTAGAAAAATTAATATGTATGAAAATATTATTTAATCAATATAGATGATTTCCAGTCAAATGGTAAAGATGATTGTTGTTTTAGTAATCAGACCATATATATAGAATGTTATGTGCTTATCCAGACATCACTATTGGAGAACTTCGATAAGTTGGAAAGAATACAGTCAATTAGAAACTCATAAGCATTCTAGAAAATTGAGTGAGTCAATGCCATATTTCAGAAATAGGGTAAAATATAACTGAATCCCTAAATTATGTTTGAATTAACACTCAAGTCCCTCTACATTATAATCAGCTGTATATTATAACAAATGTGAGTTTTTATATGAATCTTAAAGTCTACAAAAATGGCAAACATAAATGAATCAGGTGCAGGTGAATCTTAGAACCCACCTGTGGTGCAAATATGATCATGCAAAATATGAATTTTAAAAAGAAAATCTTGTATGCCAATATATTGTAGATGTCACTTGAAGAATTAACATAACCATTAAGAAGGAACTAACCGAGTCCACAGATGCAATAATGGACACCACACACATAACAAGGGCCATTTTCCACTCGAAGACAGGAGTACCCCATTGTAAGGGATATGGAAACCTAAACCATGGGGAAGATTTCAATGCATGAGAAGTATCCACTCGACAGTGCTTCATCCTGGAAACATGTTTTCTGCAGTGGTCAGATATAATATTTGATGCTGGAATATTTGCATCACAACCTTTGTAACTGTAGGCTCCTGCTTCAGTCAGAAGAAACGCAGCTGCCCATGTGATTGCTAGACCCAATGGAACCTAGCAATAAAAAAGAAACAGCAAGATTACATTCTACATATGCATAGCCTTAACCTTAAGCAACCAACAATTCAAAACCTTAAGCTGTTAGAAATGCTGCATTCTAAATTTCTAATGGTGTAACTAGGGGACGACATGTAAAATTGAAAATTTAAGAGCTGCAGTTTTAAGTGTTTAATAATATAAGAGTTGAAATTTCTTGAATTGCTAAATTAAATAAAGTCCAATGGTTGATTGCATTTGGTCCGAATTTCAAGTTAAAAATTTTACATACAATTTTAAGTGGATTTTAGTTTCATTAAAACTTTTAACTGATATGTAGATGAAATTTATCAAACAAATTAAAACTAAAAGCACTAACAATTTTAATTTTAAATGTCCAATGGTGTTATGAAACACAACCTTAGTTTCCATCTACAAGTTGAGTTGAGTTGTCCTATAGACCATCTACATTGGCTTTGTTTTGTTGAACCTAAAAGTGGAAGTGGGTAATAAAGGGGAATTTCCAATATTGATTGTGAACACATCTAAGTCTTAGGTATGCTGTCTCTCCAATTCTAAGGCTCTTAGTTGTGAACATCAAATAGCAATTGTAGAATATATAATGGAAAATCAATAACAAAAAGAAAAAGATTAGATATAAGTATTAATGGGAGGGCAAAACAGAAACAATAGAAAATAGAAAGGTTGAAACATAAATTTGCCAAAACTTACCGCATAAATGAGAAATACACGATGACCTAGAACGGATATCTTACGGAGGTACTGCAGAAAGAGATGAAATAATATTTTAGATGTTTAGGCAAACAACTGAACTGATTTTACTTTTACTTTTTCAATGGAGAGCCAAGATGGATCATAACATTTCAAAAGTAACCAAATTAAAATAAAAAGATATCATAAAGGAAATAGAAAAGCTCCCATAATTGAAAGTAAACTTAGGCTTAGTCCACCAAACTTACAAGAGAGAAAATAATAACCAGCAATATCTGCACTGCACCAATCTCAAGGCAGGTACCAACTAGTGGAAAACCATAACTATAAAATGAGAGTCCAACGGCCGCAATAGTTGGGGCAACAACCACAGGATTGATCAACCTGTAAAGGTAAACGATGAACTGAATTGAGTTATTGGGATAGTTCTGCAAATGGCGTGCTATTCAGCACATCAGATTATTTGCAACATGATGGTTCAACAGTGGAAAATAGATAAGCTATTATATATGAGTTCATCAAATCCACAACTGCAAGATAAGAGGTTATTGGTGCATAAACAATGAGATGCACAATTATTTCCCTGCTCTAATGCATTTGCAAAACTGAGAGCCTTTTGAAATTAAAAAATGAGAAGAGGAAAGATGAGGGAAGGAGAAGATGGAAATCTTAAGGATAAAATTAGTGCTTCATCTCAAAATTACAGAATGACAAAAATACAATAGGATTTGAGCAATTATTCAGCAGCATCAACAAGCTATATTCTGGAATCTGAGCCAGAACAGTTTCTTCAACAAGATACAGAAAGAACTACCATGCGATCAGCTCTCCAGCAAGAGCAATAAATTAATTTTACAAAGTCAATGTACAGACTGAAGCACGTAGCAAATTAAGTAACTTTGAATCCAATTCAAACAAGCTAACAAATTTAAGCCACATGATTACAAGATCCAGAAAAGCAGAATTATAAGCTTCAGAAAACTTGAAAAAGAAAATTGAAATAAGTTTTTCGAGCAGGTATATCATTTGGTTATTTTTATGTTCCTCCAAACTATTTTGATGAATATTGTTAATCCTACTGGACTTGAACAATTTGAAACTATTTTGATGTTCCTCCAAATTATGAAAAAACTTTTAAAAAAAAGTTTTTAAATAAGTTTTACAAGATTTAGTGTCGCTTTGCCTTTTGCTCATATAGAAAAATATTTGCACAATCATTTATTAGATGGCAAGGTTTAGTAAACCTTGTAAAACTTACTCTCTCCGTCCCAAAAAGATAGTCCATCTATCCTTTTTGGCATGTCCCACAATATAATCCACTTTCCTTTTTTGTATTATAATTAATCCTTAAATTGTCTACTATACCCTTTTTAAATTTTATCTTATTTTCAATAACCCTCATTAATTCTTACTTATTATTTCAATATAATAATTGCTCATGTGTTAATTAAGATGCGCATAATAGGAAAGTTATATGAATAAAATTGTCCTTTAGCCATAATAAATACTATTTTCTTAATTTGTGTGAAAATAGAAAATGGACTAAAATTGTCCTTTAGCCATAATAAATGCTATTTTCTTAATTTGTGTGAAAATAGAAAATGGACTAACCCTTTTTAAATTTTATACTTATTTTCAAATAACCCTATTAAATTCTTACTTATGTATTTCAATATAATAATGCTCATGTGTTAATTAAGATGCGCATGAATAGGAAAGTTATATGCAATAAAATTGTCTTAGCCAAATAAAATTTAATTTGTGTGAAAATAGAAAATGGACTAAAATTGTCCTTTAGCCATAATAAATGCTATTTTCTTAATTTGTGTGAAAATAGAAAATGGACTAAAATTGTCCTTTAGCCATAATAAATGCTATTTTCTTAATTTGTGTGAAAATAGAAAATGGACTATCTTTTTGAGACGGAGGGAGTATTTAAATTTTTTTTTTTTTAAAAGTTTTTTCATAATTTGGAGGAACATCAAAATAGTTTCAAATTTTTTAACCAATTGATATGATAAGATTTAAGCTTTTGGTTGATTATGGAATTACTTAATATGTGTTCTTGTTTATCTAACAGGAATAACAGTTCATGTTATAAATTGCATGAATGAACCAGGCAACCTCAAGCCTGAATAGCTGAGTTCCTCATGTGGACAGACAAAGACAACTATTAAAGCTAATTTATATATTACAGTGAAATTATGCTAAAGTAGTGACATGCTAAAGACCAAATTCCATGATATCAACATGGAAATGCATCCTCTGCCTACAAAAACTGCATGAAGTGGATTACATCTCCTCACTGAGAAATAACTTAGCGACCAAAGATAGAATCTGTATTATGAGCTTTCCGATTAACTAGAAAAAAGAATATAAATCTTTTTTCAACATTCTTTGCATATTCAGAGAAAAGAGGTAGAGATCACAGGATGTAAGTGATCATTAATGACGCCCCTCATCTGCAATATAACAACAATAATACGACAATGATAACCTCTGACTCTCCAAAAAAATGTGATAATCTCAGACAACAAATGCTGAAGATGAGATGTACTTAATTATGATTCATGGTACCCAATAGATAAAAATCCTCCATGGATAACAAACAGCAAACATTAATTTACTTGAGCTATTAATTTGCAATCCAACTGCTGAATCACCTTATGCAACTGTTTATAGACTTGAACTTCATAAACAGAACATAAAAATGAGAGAGTAAGGTAACCTTCGTACGTGAGTGAGTTAACCAATTTCAAGCATTATGTAGTATATATGTTCAAAACATACCTCAAAATTAATGACATCAATCCACTATATCCAAGTAATGCTTGGAACGCTGAAGCAATAATTATAGCCCCCTGTAGCTTCTTCATAATATGTTTGAAATTCTGTCAAAGTAAATATTTGTTAGAAATCTCACTAGATATGAAGAATTTTCATTGAGAACCAAAAGTAATAGTCGAATCATCTTGAACTTGCTTGAAAGCGATTTCATAAGCATAGTCAGCAGACTCAGCATGTAGTTACATTACAATTGATTTACAGATTGATAAAATTTCTATCTCCGATCAAGGAGTACAGGTCATAACCCATTTTTATTGGCTCCAGTCCTGCTGTTGTTCTGTGTTCAATCATAATTCTAACTTCGGAAGAAATCCCAGAAACACTTTTTTAGGATAACAACCAACTCTTTGTTTTTGCAACAAATTTTAATAAAACTTAAAAATAATAGATCATAATTTTCCTAACGTTCGGGAAAGAAATCCCAGAAAAACACTTTTTTAGGATAACAACCAACTCTTTGTTTTTTGCAACAAAAATTTTTAATAAACTTTAAAAATAATTATATATTATACCTAATAAGTACTTAATATATATATACTATATATTATATTAAATTGGCATGCTAGGAAACTGATATGATCAGCCATCAAACCAATCGCATTTTACCACTTCTCAAAATTTTACAAGTCATTCAATGAGTTATATATATATAATTGGCATGCTAGGAAACTGATATGATCAGCCATCAACCAATCGCATTTTACCACTTCTCAATTTTACAAGTCATTCAATGAGTTTATTCCAAGAGCAGAAGGAAAAACATTTGTAGGAAACCCACCAATTCTTTAAAACATGGGATTCAGTTAAGCAAATTATAAATTCATGTTTATCTAATTCTATGTAGAATGCACAATATCACCCTGGTGACCTAAATATTAAGTTGTGAGGTGGTAAAAACTAAGCCTAGCAAACAAAATGAAATGAGAAGGAAAACACCAACAGGCTGTTTGCCTCATTAAAGCATGCAATGTTTTATATCTTTCAAATTAAAACACTCATAAATTTGAAATTTAACATCACATATCAGTCAAAAGTTGGTATCTCTGTTATTATATGTATTGGCAAAGAAATTACAACAAGCACAACACCACAAGTTTACTTTTTCATCCGCTAGAAAGGTGAAAAAAGCAAAAAGACAATTAATTTGTGCATTTAAACAAAATAGAACTGAGAAAAAGGGCGTACATTTCCACTCAGTCCTTGGAACTCTGAGGAATTTATTATTGCTAATGCTGGAGCAAGGAAAACAAATGACGGGCCTTGTATCAAAGGCAACCTTGACCCAAAAGATGTATGCAAAAGTGTGGTCACTCCTGTAACAAATAGCACCGTTGACACCACTATTGAAGTATCCTCCTACACCAACTATGTCCAATCAGATCAAACTATTCACGCCGTATTCTCAACAAGAAAATGAACATCATAAAAAGTTTGATGAAAAATAATTCACTACTCACATAAGAGCCCCCCATTGCAGGAACTATGACGAGTGGAATGAGAATCAATGAACCTAACATTGACAGGTAATGCTGGAACCCATATAGCCCAATGGGAACTGAAACATTACACAACAAATATAAGATAATTTAAGAATATCCATAAAACAAATGAAAATCACAATTTTTGAACCTGAAAAAATAAAATTTATATTTATGCCAATAAACAACAATTCTAACAACAAACATAACCTATCCAAATTGCCAACATATCCAATAAGAAAAGTGCACGATTGTCAAGTGTCAGCATCGGATCATCATAAATAAAGAGAGCTGATTTTAGGTGACAACTAAACCAAGAAAGAAAGAATAATTAATATCTATCGATGTCTTATTATCAACAATAATCCCAAAAACGAAAAATTCATACATCATGAAACAAGCATAACCATTTCTTCCAAATTAAAGATTGTTCTCTCCGACATTCCTTAAGACAAGTCAAATTCCAAACTTCACACCAAACAAATATGGACGAGTTTAAATATTAATAAAAATCAGTAGCACTCCTTGTTCTACTCTTGCACAACCTGATATACACCTAAATATGAGTAGAAATCCACAAAACCATACGAACTCAATAACATCGTTTCAGATGACAAGTGAAAACATAAACCTTTTTCTCCTCTTCTCTTAAAAACTAAAATCAAACATAGTAATCAATCAAAAAAATAAAACATACCAAGCCCAGGTGTGTCTCTTAGTTCATACTTCATATGAGAATGCCTTCCCACGAACCCATCATCCTCCACAGGCTGTGGCAACACATCAACCGCTTCGTCATTCCTCGCAACTCGTCTCGTACTCTCTGTAGGGCCCGCCGGACCCTGCCCATTTGCTCCATGACCAGACTCTTTCTTTGGGGCCCCACCACCATCAGAGTCCCTCCTCCTCTTCACCGTCTGACCTTTATTGTCAGCTGCCACACCCGTTACAGTGCCATTCACCGCAGCTGGCAATGGTGTAGTAGTGGTCATCGTGTTGTTGTTGTTGGTGTTGGTTGTGGTGGTAGTGGCTGCTGGGCGCACCCGGCCCGCTTCAAGATCGGGCTGGTTATCGGACGGTTCTTTGGGCTTCGGGGGGAGAGAAATCTGCCCGGAATCGCTAGCATTGGTCTCTCCGGAGAACTTGGGTCGAAACCCAGTTTTCTTAGCCCAAGAAGAAGGCGGCATTGGGGAGGATTCAGGCGCAGGAGGCCATGGACCAGGCTTGGGTCGGGTTTTCGGGTCGGTGTTGGACATTTTTATATAGTTGAACTTCTTAGTGCATAATAGGCGAAATGTAGAGTAGATCTAAGGTCTGTCGTTAGGGTTTTGAGTAGTGTTTAGGGTTTTTGCGTTTAGAGAGAGAAAAACAGTAAAGCTGTTTTAAGCTCGTCTGCCTGAAGAAGAGAGTAAAAATGAGTGATAGAGTGAGTGTTAGAGAGAGAGAGAGAGAGAGAAAGAAAGATGACAACAGAGAGACAGCTCAAGAGAGAGATAAGAAAGAGTAGTGGAGTGGAGGAGCTAAAACCGCGTTTGCTATTTTGTTTATTTTATTATTATTAATTCGTTCGGTTTTTTATTTAAAAAAAAAAAAAAAAAAAAAAAAGCTATTTTGGTTTAATTTTATTATTAAATTAATTTCGTTTTCGGTTTTTTATTTAAAAAAAAAAAAAAAAAAAAAAAACAGATTATGTTTTGTTCTGCGCGATATATCGAATTGTGTAAACATAAAATTAATAGAAAAATGTTCCCTTTGTTGACGTCCTCGTAAGTCTAGTCAGTTTTAAAAAAAAAAAAAAAAAAAAAAAACAGATTATGTTTGTTCTGCGCGATAATCGGAATTGTGTAATAAAATTATAGAAAATGTTCCCTTTGTTGACGTCTCGTAAGTCTAGTCAGTTAACTGTCGATGGAAAATTACGTGTTTAGACTTTGGAGGCATGCAAGGATGATTAATCACAATAAATAAATTAATTTAATTTTATATATATGAGTAATTGTATGGATGACGCTGCATTTCTGAATTAATTTTACTTAAAAATTTAGGAATTTAAAATTTATAACTTTATCTAATTATTAATTGGAATCGTAGTTCTTAGTAGGATTGCATCTAAATACTATTTGGCAATAGCAGAAGACAAGGTGAAATTTTATTTTATTTTTGCTCTGAATTTTTTTTTATATTTTTTCTTGAACTATTATTTTCCTATTTGGCTTTCTAAATTTTTGAAAAATTATTTTGTCTTTCTCACCGCTGCTACAATGGGTCATTATTATTTGAAGAATTTTACTTGAATATTTATTTACTCATAATAGTATTTATCTTTGATTCTATGAGCTGATGCTTGTGATATTAGTTTTCTGAGGTAGATTCTAGATTATTTTTCTTAATCTAGAATCAAGGTGACATAAAAAAATAAACAATGTATTATTATTGTAAAATTAATAAATAAGGTGACATAAAAAAATTAAATAATTATTAATAAATGTCTAATAATTTTATATCACTTAATTTCTAAAATAATATTAATTTTAGATTTTTCTGCCCTTATAGTTTCCAACACATCTTAAAGTTAAAGTAAAAAGGATGATGTAATTAATTAACTTTTGAGATTTTAGGAAACGTTAAATAAAATAAAATAAAATAAAAAATGGAAAGCAAAGAGAAAGTTCGGTGCATGTTGTGGGTCTTTAATGGATTGGGCGGTGAAGTCCAACATTGTTTTCTGGTGAAAAAAGTAAATTGACGTAACAATTGCAAACCTAAAGCCAATGGGTTTTTAAGCTTTCATTGCTTCAATTAAAAGGTATCATGTGAAAGACTGACTTTGAATTTCTCTCAAATTGACATTAATCTAATAATATGTTTCCATATTTTTTATCGGAAGTCTAATAATAAAAGAATAAAAAAAATTCAATCTTGACTTAAAGTATTTGATCGATTTGAGAGAACATAATATTTGAGCCATAGAAGCTCGTTTGCTGTATTTGGTAGCTATTCATGGTCATTGTTCAGTTCCATGGTCCTTCTACAAAGCCGATCTGATTACTTTCAAATTTCTTTTCTGCCTAATTATCCAAAAAATAAAATACGATTCATAAAATCACCATAATGGTGATAGCTATAATTGAGAATTAGATACGAGAACAAAACGCACGATATGCGCAACAGTAATCTCAATATTTAAGCGACAATAATTCAGATTTCTATATATTTGCGAAGAAATAAACAAAAATGTGAATAGGTGACCAGTGTAAGAGTAGAAAAGAGAGAGCCATATGTCAAAAAATAAACAAATGCTTATGGGTCAGATATATAGTAATGCGGTTATAATCAAGCTAAATCCCATAAATTTAGAAATAATCAAGTTAAATCTCATAAATTTAGAATCTTATCCTTTATTAATTTGAAATCTCTATTAGATTATACTTCCATAATGGATGGGGTATTATTCATTTAAGCAACTCATCCTCTTTTGATTTGCATTACCATCGGTGCTACAAAAGAAAATCTGAAAAATTAATTTATTTATTGTAGTAAATATAAGTCACGTTCTTTTTTTTAATTAATTGGAGGTCTTTATGGGTCAAAATAAGATTATAGACTACACAATAAGGGTAGCTCTCCCCTTAACTTACCAAACAATAAGGATAGCGCTCTCTTAACTTATCAAATTAGTAAAAATATCAGTGATCAAAAGGACTTGAACTCGACACATTCGAATTCGAGACCTCCCACTCCACTCTTCACATAAGTGAGAAAACCAATCAACTACCACCGGATTGACAAATATAAGTCACCTTCAAAATACTAAAGATATATCATTTTTTTTCAATAAACTAAATTTTTATTTTTTTGAAACATAAAAATTATACTTCATAGATTACTCAAACATAATGAAGAACATCATTCAAGAATTGAAGATTAAGGGTACGGAAACAAGTGTCCTTACCATCAAATGAGTTGAGTGATCCATTGATCCATTTAGTTTCCAATGAATTTCAAATCTGGATTTTTCTTCCATGAAAAGACTGTTTCTTTAACTAAGATATTACTTCTTGACCAAGAAAATAGTTCATGACGATAAATCTCATGGGCATGACTAAGCAGCTTGATAGGTTTTCAATCAAGAACAAAAGTTATATGTTATTGCAATTAGGATGGATTTGAGGGAGTTACTTAAATTTGATGCTAACTCATCGTAAAAAGATTTAGATGTGTCTTTCCATATTTGCATCCATTTAATTTCAATTTATAAACGACTAGATGGAATTTTCTAGTCTCATTTTTTATTTAGGATCCAAATTATAGATAATGGTTTTCAATCCGAATCGAATCAGTCAATTCAATTTTAACTAAAAATCAATCAAATTTTCTGTTAAGCACGACTTCTCAAATCCTAATTGAAAATTATTATTATTGTCAGTATTATTTATAAATGTTAAAAATCCAAGATGGAAAGTACAAATAAGCCCCAATGTATGGAGGGTAGCATGTGGCAAAGTGTTGAATATATAGATAAAAATCCATTAAGGGTTCATGCCATAAAAAACAATTGATCAAATCAAAAAAGAAAAAAAGAAAAGAAAAGAAAAGGACTTTTGCTAGCTGGTTTTAATAGAGCAAGCTTAATATATCATTTCAATGGTGAAAGCAACGGCTAGTTTTGGCTTGAGTAGGAAGCCAATTGAGATAAAGAAAATGTTGGCAAAGGACGCCAAACTAGCCGTTTTGGTTTAAAAATGATAGGGTTAACCGGTTAAAGGACCCTACCGCCATATCTAACCGGCAAAAGCTCGTTGGATTTGATGTGCTTCTATGATCACTTGCAATGGTTTCCTTTCCATGGACCCACCATTTTTTATTGAGATAAAATTATTGTAATAACTATAAGATTTATTTTAATTACCATATTAACACTTTTTAGTCTCTCAAATTTGTTAATTAATGCCAATATTTGAAACTTGATTTTAAAACACTTTTAAAAATTTATTTTTATCGGAATTAGTTGTATTAATAAAACACCTTTAATTATATTAAATTACGTTTTATTACGATTCACCAAACTTAATTTAAAAATATAAAGAAATATGAACTAAAATATTAATTGCATTAAATGTTAAGAGTCTATGATAATGATATATAATATGTTGAGTTATATCAACTAACTAATTTTTAAAGCAAATTATGTGAAACAATGTATCATTATTCATTTCTAGTTTAGGATATAATAATCTTTTTGGATTACATTAAATAAAATAAATAGTTGCAAAATTGGATGTGATTATCAATGCTCCTATTGGAAATATGATTCCGCTGTAAATTGGATTAGGCTTAACCAACGACTAAGGACACCTCTGTTATAAATCAAATGCGCGCATGTGTATATATAATTTAGTTGCAAAATTGATGTGGATTATCAAATGCTCCTATTGGAATATGATTCCGCTGTAAATTTGGATTAAGGCTTAACCAAAGACTAAGGACCACCTCTGTTAATAAATCAAATTGCCGCGCATGTGGTATATATATTAATATATATAATATATATATATTAAATTTTACCTATTCTTAAAATAATTATCGGCTTGAATATTAAATACTTTTTGTCTTATAAAACCTATTAATGAAATAATTGTAAATTATATATTATACAACTTCTGCTTACTAAGCCCTTAGTTTACAAAACTATTAGAGTCCATTGTATGAAATTCATTTGTAATCAAATATTCACTTTGAATAAAAATAAAAGAAGTATGAAAGCAAAAATATAAATAAGATAAAGGTATTGTTGGAAACACTAGATTTTTGCAAAAAAAAAAAAACAAAAAAAAAAAAAAAAAAAAAAAAAAAAGATTTTTTTTAAAATAAGTAATAAACAAGCAAAAGACAGAAAGTATCAAAAAAAAAAAACTCATGACGAGCCTAGATTGGTCACGTATATAGATTTTTTTTTTTATCTCCATTATGTTTTGTTCATTGCTAAAGCTTCATCAATCTCCAAAAACTGTAGATCCCTTCTCGTTACTTCTTTGCAAGTAATTCTAAGTTTACCTCTTTCCATTTAGCTCAATCCATAAACAAAGTACTATATTTAGGAACCGGGACAATTAGAAATCTCTGCAACACATGACCAAGTCATCACAAATATGAGTTTTTTATTTTATCTCCAACTTCTGCTGCTTGTACCTTTTGGTGAAGGTGGTCGTTCCTAATCTTCTCTAACTTTATGTGTCCATGCATCTATCTTACTATTCCTGACTCAGCAAAATTCATCTGATGAACATGTTTGATAACCGGTTACCATAACATTTTATCCCATATAATATTGCAGGTCTCACTATCATCCGATAGAATTTGTCTTTCAGCTTGTTAGAAATCTTCCTGTCACATAACACCCTCTATCTCTGTGGCACTCCATTTTATCCATCCAACTTGAATTCTACAAGTTATATCTCAATTAGGCATGGCCATCGGTTCGATTCAAACCGGAACCGAATCGTACTGTAGATGAACTGAAACTGAACCGGAATCGTAGGTTCAAAATTTTAAACTAGAACTGGTGGTTCAATAGCCAGTTAAGGTTCATATGAATGTTAAATATGAACCGGAACCAGCCCGGAACTGGCGGTTTCGGTCTAGTTCGAACCGAAAATTTTTTATTTTTATTTTCAAAATGATTATCATTTAGCCTATTTTATATATCTCTAAAGTCTTAATAATATTTTACTACATGATATACTTTACTTAAGATTTTTCTTAAAATACACTTTACTTTAAAAGTTAAAATTCTAAAAAGTGAAATGGTAAAAAAAAAAAAAAGAGAAATATTTAGTCTAAACTTATATTATTTTTAATTTTTTTTTTACCATTTTAAATTGTTTACTAAGTTTAAAATTACATTCTTTTGAAGCATTTTTCAAAATTTTCTTAGAATTTATTTAATTAATAACAATTAAAAAATTACATTTTTTTGAAGCATTTTTTTCAAAAATTTTTCTTAGAAATATTAATTTAATTAATACAATTAAACAAAAATAAAGTGATAAATTTATTTGAATTTATTTTGTAAAAATTAATTAATTTTTTATTTCTTATATGAAGTATGAAGCATTCTAAATTTATTAAATAAAATTTATCAATATTTTTTAAACTCATATTAAAATTTAGGAAAATAAAGTGATAATTTATTTGATTATTTTGTAAAATTAATTAATTTTATTCTTATATGAGTATGAGCATTCTAAAATTTATTTAAATAAAATTTATCAATATTTTTTAAACTCATATTAATATTTAGGAAAGAAAAATATAACATTAGAATCGATTTTTTTTTAAAAAGAAAAACATATATTGCCGGAAACCGTGATCGGAACCGTCGATTCATCGAACGCACTGAAACCGGCTGGAACCGACAGTTCAAGAGGCGGTTCAGGTTCAACATTTTAAAAATTTTGAACTGGTGGTTCAACGAACTGGCTATTCCGAATCTCAATAATCTTACTATCCTTAGAGTATAGATATTCTAGGTACCACCATACCATCTAATTTAATCTCTTTTCCCTAATCATTATTTAGATCAAACTCACAATGAATGTATTTTGACTTGTTTATGCTTAGCTTAAAGCTCATACTCTTAAGAATGTATCTCCATAATTCTAACTTTTGGTTTAATTCTTCACAGGTTTCGTGGATGAAGACATTATCAGCAAATAACATGCACCAATCAAGGCACTTCATCTTGTACATCATTAGTTAAATCATTTATAATTAGAGTAAACAAATAAAGGCTTAAAGCTAATCCTTGAGGTAGTCCAACAATAACAATGAATTTGTTTTTATTCCCTCTTAACTGCATTTTCATACTTATATCTAGTAACAATTATATAATTGCCAGGAATTCTTTTTTCTATAATACCCACTAAAGTACTGATCTCAGCACTCTGTCATAAGCTGTTAATGAATAATACATGTAGATCTTTTTTTTTATTTCCTAAAATTTTCTATCAATCTTCTCAAGAAAAATAAGGCATGCTGTATATCTACCTCACATAAATCCGAATCAGTTCTCCAACACTTCCATAATGTTTTTAAGTCTATGTTTTGTAATTTTTTCCAAGCTTCATTGACACTTATAAGCTTAATTTTGTATCAAGCTTCAGTGATTTGGTATCTTTTCATTTTGTAGCACATCATTGAATAGCTTGGTTGGTTAACCAAGCGATGCCCACTTTGCCAAGACTCTTTTATACCTCCATGAGGATACCGTCGGACCACATGCTTTTCCATCCTTCGTATGTTTTAAGGTCCCCTGGACTTCATTTAGCCTAATTGTACGAGTATAACTCAGCTTTCTATCTGCCCTTGAGGTATGAATTTTTATAAACCCATCTTTCTAATTTGTGTTAAACAAACATATATCGATCGTGACGATGAAATTATGCGTAAGATATAAGTTTTTATACTTCTAATTGCAACCTTATCAAAATATTTAATTTATGTTTTTTTTTTTTTGAAAAAAGTATTCAATATCAATTAATCCAATTATTTGAAAATGAAATCAATAACTATATGAATAAAATTCTAAAAATTAATATTTTTCACAAACGCTATAAAAGTTGCCATTAATTATTGTTAAAAAAATGTTGTAGCCAAGTAAGAATATAAAATTTCTTCTAAATTTGAAAAATCTTAAAAATCACACAGCTTTTGTATAGTTCACTAATTTTTCAATTTATATTTCTTTTTATTTTATTTACATTACATGCATAGAATGATCACTGTCAGTTCTTCTCCCCTCAATTTTTTTATACTGATTCATGTGTTATTTTGCTATTGTCGTAAAATGTACAATTTTATTCAATCCTAAACCAATGACAATAAAAAAATAACTATAACTATCCATTTTAAAAAGAAACATAGTACCTCAAAAATGAAGCTTTAGCAGAAATGCTCAAACCTTCATTCCGTAGTAAAAATAAAGACGCAGTACAATACTAAAACTTTTAGTATATAGTATCATTTTTAAATTGTGATATCAAAATTTGAAAATTTTAAATTTAGAAATCAATTTTTAATGATAAATAACTTTTTTGTCCATTCAAATATTTCTGTACATTTATTACAGATTTCTTTTTTGAGAATGAGATATATTTAGATTTTAATGCTACATAACTGTAGGGTCTATATAAATAAAAACTAAAAAGTTAGTTCAAAATGAAAAAAAAACAATACAGTGGGGCAACTACACTAATGAAAACTACAAAATATGCATTTTAGGATGCTTAAAGGTACTTCGCTATTTAGCATACACAACCAAGGAATTCAATGCTTACCGTTTCCTTCCCTCTACTCCTAATCTCTCTCTCTCTCTCTCTCTCTCTCCCCCTTCTTTTCCTATCACTTCACTTTTTTTTTTCACTGCCCCTCAAATTTTCTATCTACTTTCTCAATCTCTAATCCCTTTAATTAGGATTGGTACTATCCTAACAAATCATTCCCAAGAACAAGGGGCAAGAAGTCTTGTATTTTGGAAGTTATGTTCTCTAATCCTTCATTTGAACCACTCTCCCTCCCTTCTCCTTTCCAAACACAGTATGTACACACTTTAGTCAATGGAAAATGAAAATGGGAGTTCCTCAAGAGGGCCTAAATAACCTGAATCCTGGGTGGACAAGTTAGCCACCGATATTCTGTAGCTCATCCACAAATTCATTCAACGAAGGTTTTACCCAAAAGAATAAAAGTCATCACGAGTTCTATACTTGGTAAGAAAAGAAATTGAAGTATACACTTCCAAAAGTGAATGAAAATTGAAAATACTACATTTTTAAGTAAATATTTCTTAACTCAATACAATTGCTTTGTCCATATATCAATTTATAACAAATACTCTTTGTAAGAACAAGTCCTAAATCATGATAATGGGAAACAAATGGTAATCCAGTAGTTTCAAGAGTGGTGTATTACCTGAAGCGTCACTGGCCTGTGAGGCTTCGGAGCTGGAAAGGCAACCAAACATTAGTCTAAAGTCTAAACTTTAAAGCAAAACACCAAAATCGAAGGAATCATCAAAAGAAATTACGAAATTTTCACTTCTATCTCAACTAATTATAACAGCACTACTTTTATTCAATTTTCATTCACACACTGAGAAGCAGCTGTGCTAGACCCACATAGAATTGGTCCACCAATCCACGCACAATTCCAAACTAATCCAAAACGCCCATATATCTTTATATAAGAAGATTTTATGTTGCTCTTTACTCTGCTCTCAAGTCTCATTAGTTTTCTGTTAGGAATGTTTCTTTATTTCAGTTTATTCTTCACAGCCTTTAGTATAGGTGCGTTGCTATAAATAGGTTTCTGTGTCTCCACCATTAGTGTTAGTTTTGCCTCACACATATGCCAATTGGAATCTTTTCATTTGTTTATATTATCAATGTTATCTCTGATATTTTTAAACTTATCCTTCCTTGATGGATGGCTAGATGATGGCCTTCGGTGGCAGGACAACCTGATGTGGCTACATTAAAATTGATTAAAACCAAATTGTGTTCATATTATTGGACTTTTTAGCTTTAAACTCAGGAAACAAATGGCAACGGAACTCTCTTCATAATTTCTTGATTCACCATTCATATCTATTTTTTCACATACTAGCTTACGTAGCTTATGTTGGTGAATTTGCTGTATAAAGTGTTTGCTCATAACATGTGGATCATTAGAAGCAATTGTTTTACACTAAAAATCCACCAAAAGAGACGCTGTTATATGAAATAATAAATATTAATGCTGAATCCAAATATATGAAGAAAGATTGCTTACCCGTCGTAGCTTGAGTTTAAGCTAGTAAATTCATTATGAGCTAATTAACAAATTCCTATATATGTTTTATATTTTATTTAACATTTTTGGAGCATGTATGCATGGTTTTTATGGGTAGGAAATACGTAATGAATATTTTTGGAGAATTTAGATATAAAAAAAATCCACCAAAAGAGAACGCCTGTTATATGAAATAATAAATAATTAATGGCCTGAATCCAAATATATGAAGAAGATTCTTCCCGTTCGTAGCTTGAGTTTAAGGCTAGTAAAATTCATTATGAGCCTAATTAACAAAATTCCTATATAGTGTTTATATTTTATTTAAACATTTTTGGGAGCAATGTATGCCATGGTTTTTATGGGTAAGGAAATACGTAAATGAAATATTTTTTTGGAAGAAATCTTAGATAATTTAGTGAATAGTGAATTATGGTGTTATGATTAATTACAAGGAAATTTGAGGAATTATTTTTATGGAGTAAATTAAAGAAGTTTTGTGGAGATAAAAAATATTTTGAAGGATTTAATTAGAGAATATTTGTAGCCATTAGAATTAGATTAACTAGTGAACTTAATCCCTAAGCCATCATTCTGAAAAAAAAAAAGACCAGAATACCTGTTTGTTTGGCTTTATATAAGTCAAACCAATCAATTAATTAAACAACCATTTTTTCCTTTCTTCTTCTTTTCGCTACCGTCTTCTTCTCCTCCTCCTTCATTTTCTTCATTCTTACCTTTACTAAACACATAAATTTCACCGCATACCAAATTGATTTAAGTACTTAGATCTTAGAGAGTGAAGCTATGAGAAAGTGAGAGTGAAGCTAGAGAAGTGATTTTTGGTGACTAATTTCAAGGAATTTGGAGATTTTCCTACTTGGGTCAAGTAAGTGATTTTATGATAATCTCACTATGTTTGGGTTTAGAGTTTTCTTTTAGCATATACATGCTTAATCATGCTTCGATTTCTTCTTTTATTTGTTTTCTTTGTTTTGATTTTGAGTTTTTTCTTACATGTAGAGGGTGGAGAGCCTTCTACCAAAGATAAAGGCAAGAGCAAAGCTTAAGGAGCTTTGATTAAAGCTTACTAAACCTTGTTTTGAAGGTTAGTGTTCATAAACACACTTATCTTACTCTAATTTTTGATTTGTTCCTTTATGCTATCATGTGTATATTTTGGGATTTTGTATGAAATGATTGATTTGTTGAATTTTGGTTGTAATAACATGCTCTTGGATGATGTTTGATGATGATGAGTAATTAATTTATGTGGTAGACCTTTCTACGTCTAATTCCAATACTTGTAGCTCAACTTATGATTTAAATACCAAAACTGGTTCTGTTATGGTGTCTTACCTGTATATCCGAAATGATTGTCAATTTTGACCACTAAAATGATAAAATAATGTCTTATGTTCTTCATAAAAGTGTAGCTCTACCTCTTAGCTGTCCAACCCATCCTCTTGTGTCCAAGTTGGAGATACATAGCTCAACTTATAGCTGAAACACCCAAACTGACTTTGTTGTGTCGAGCCACATGCATCACTGAATTGAGTGCCCATTTTGACCACTATAATAATAAGATTAGGTTCTGAGTTCTTCATAAAAGTTGGTTGCCCTGTGTCCTTGAACTTTCCTTGCCCTGTGTCTTGAGACTTCCCTGGTTGTGGATTGGTTTAATTTGAGTGTTTGGTTACGTAGGAATTCAATAAACATTGGACTTGGTTCTGCTGAATCAGGTCTGGTCTGTTGATCTGTGTTCCTAGCTTTTGTTTGCTATCTTACAGATTGATTTGGGCCCTTCATAACATTTGTAGAATTTTGTCTTAGCTTTCAAATGAATCTGATTTCATTCAATTTGGAGACTGATAACTCAAGTTATGTCTTAAAAACTCAACAAAGGTCAATGTTACTTTTATGCTGGAAATTTTCTATGTTAAGTCATTTTGTTTAAGTATGAGAATCTTTATGAATTACTTAAGGTTTTAAGAAGATTAAAGAAAATGAACTTTATAAGAAATGTTATGAAGTAATAATTAAAAACAAGAATTTTGCGCTCTATCATACTTGGTGTGAATTTGTTGCATGATATGATTTATTATGTAAGATGAGCATGCTCGGCATTTAATGCTATTATGATAAGAAGCTATGATCATATGCTAGGCAGGTGGGTGTCTTATGTTAGGGCGGACGCGCTCTATATGTTATGATAAGTTGGCGACTAAAAGCCATTATGACTACGCTATGAAAACTTATTTGCTTCTAAGTGTAAGTGAGCCCTTATAAACTATTTTAAGGAAATGAAATAAATGAGATCACAACATGTTAATAAATCTTAGTTTACAATAACTTATTTATGTAAATCCTTAGTTTACAATAACTTATTTATGATATCAAATGAGTTTTTCTAAAGCATGATGTTGGTTGGTGTAATATATGATTCAATTGCGCATGTTACAAAGATTAATGATTCTATGTATATAAATGATTTATATAAAGTTGTGGGTTTGTTTGTATTTTACGAGCAACTAATTGAGTTTTATACTCAGCGCGTTGGAGTTGATTTTATCACGCGCAGGTTGGAGTCTATGTTTGTTGCTTAAAGACCAAAAGAGTAGCATTAGAGCTGAAGAGAATATTTTGGTAGTTGATTAGTGTTTACGTGACTAAGAACTATGGCATGTATTATTTAAACTAAGTATTATATTTTTAGAGACTGTATTATTTAATTTATGACTTAAACATGTTATTGTACATGATTTTGGTGGATACATATTGGAGATAAACTTAGGACTTATTTAATGGTTAGAATATTAGAAGTTGATATATTTAATTGATGAATATTAAAATGTTATTGAGGAATTATGTAGTTATGAAATTATAGAAGTGCTATTGTGTTGTTATTGGAATTTGAAATTGAGGAGTGCTTTGTATTCATATGTTTGGCGACTTTTAGGGGAAACTGTTGCAGTTTTTCTGTAGGACTCTCTCAAATCATTTTTAAAATAAAATATTATTACTTACTAAACATATGAATACTAAATCACTTCTAATTCATAATATGATTGTTTGATTTATATGTAGGTTAGGATGGTGCCTCCGGCACCAAATGTGGCATCCGCCGTCGGTCCCGGCAACAAAATTGCAATCCGCCGTCCGGTTTCTCGGGATTGGCGGCAAGTGTTACATTTAGTGGTATCAGAGCATAAAGTTTTTAGGGCGGTTCTAGGACTATATGGCATTATATACGGAATTTATCCTGTTTTTGAAGTGAAAGTAATGAAAGTAATAAGTTAAATACATGCTCATATTGGTTTGGTTTTTTGGAACTTCCTCTTTGATGGGAACTTTTGGTCTTTGGTAGGAGTTGGAGTGATGGTCTCCAACATCTATTCGATGTAGGAGGTGGATAGTTTATGTCGCCTCTAGTGGTGGTATTCCTTTGGGTGATTGCCCACTTAGTGGTTGCTGTGGGTACTAATGGCGGAGCACCTGCCTCGAGGGTGGGGGCAGGCTACGGCAGGTCATTCTGGGCCCTAACCGGGGATAAGTTTGTTCCTACAGTTAGTTTGCGCTTGTCAAAAAGGCCAGCAGCGGGAGCTTGTTCCCCCAGGCTCCCAATTGGCTCCAAGCCCTTATTTCCAGTTCAGTTCGTCCCCCTATTGAGAAACTGGGGAAATATGGAGCTGTTGAGTTCAGGGGTAGAAAGGATGATGTGGCTTCTGCAGCAGAGTATTGGCTCCAGTCTGTGGAGAGGATATTGAAGCAGATGCAGTGCTCACCTCTGGACAGTTTGGTTTGTGCCACTTCCTTATTGAGGGAGGAAGCTTACCAGTGATGGCATACGGTATCATTGACAGTCAGTGCTGAGCAAAGGACTTGGGACTTCTTTCTTTCTGAGTTTAGACAGAAATACATTGGGGAGCTTTACATTGACCAATGTAAAGTCGAGTTTTTAGAGTTAAAACGGGGCGGAATGTCTGTGCTCGAATGTGAAAGAGAGTTCATCCGGTTGAGCAGGTATGCTACTGAGATGATTCCTACTGAGTCGGATAGATGCAAGCGCTTCAGGAAAGGCTTGCATGATGAATAGATGCAAGCCCTTCAGGAAAGGCTTGCATGATGATCATAGAATGCATCTAGTTGCTCATCCTCATACATCATTCTCTTC